GAAGAGGCTGAGAGGTTGAAGCTTGAAGAAGAACGTAAGAAGCAAGAGGAAGAAGAGCACAAGAAGAAGGAAGAAGAAGAACTTAAGCAGAAGGAAGAGGCTGAGAGATTGAAGCTGGAAGAGGAACGTAAAATGCAAGAGGAAGAAGAGCACAAGAAGAAGGAAGAAGAACAACTCAAGCAGAAAGAAGAGGCTGAGAGGTTGAAGCTTGAAGAAGAACGTAAGAAGCAAGAGGAAGAAGAGCACAAGAAGAAGGAAGAAGAACAACTCAAGCAGAAAGAAGAGGCTGAGAGGTTGAAGCTTGAAGAAGAACGTAAGAAGCAAGAGGAAGAAGAGTACAAAAAGAAAGAAGAAGAACAACTTAAGCAGAAGGGGGAAGCTGAAAAATTAAAGATTGAAGAAGAACGTAAAAAGCAAGAGGAAGAAGAACTGAAACAGAAAGAGGAAGCGGAACAATTGAAGATTGAACAGGAACGTAAAAAGCAAAAGGAAGAAGAACGAAAGAAAAAGGAGGCGGACGAGCTCGAACAGAAGAAAGAAACTGAAGAATTGAAGCTCGAAGAAGAAAGCAAACAGCGCGAAGAAGAAGAATGCAAGAAGAAGGAGGCGAAAGAGCTCGAACAGAAGAAAGAAGCTGAGAAATTGAAGCTCGAAGAAGAAAGCAAACAGCTCGAAGACGAAGAACGCAAGAAGAAGGAGGCGAAAGAGCTTGAACAGAAGGAAGAAGCTGAAAAATTGAAGCTCGAAGAAGAAAGCAAACAGCGCGAAGAAGAAGAACGCAAGAAAAATGAGGCAGAAGAGCTCAAGCAGAAGAAAGAAGCTGAAAAATTAAAGATTGAAGAACAGCGCAAAAAGCAGGAAGAGGAAGAACGTAAGAGGAAAGAGGAGGAAGAACTGAAACAGAAAGAGGAAGCCGAAAAGTTGAAGATTGAACAGGGGCGTAAAAAGCAACAGGAAGAAGAACGTAAGAGAAAAGAAGAAGAAGAACTTAAGCAGAAGGAAGAAGCTGAGAAATTGAAGATCGAAGAAGAACAACGCAAAAAGCACGAAGAAGAAGAAGAGCGTAAGAGAAAGGAAGCAGAGCTCAAGCAGAAGGAAGAAGCTGAGAAATTAAAGATTGAAGAAGAACGTAAGAGAAAAGAGGAAGAAGAACTGAGACAAAAAGAGGAAGCAGAAAAATTGAAGATTGAAGAAGAACGTAAAAAGCAAGAGGACGAAGAACGTAAGAAAAAGGAGGCGGAAGAACTCGGACAGAAGGAAGAGGCTGAGAAGCTAAAACAGGAAGAACAAAAGAGAATAGAAGCTGCCAAGGAGCTGGAAGAGAAGCGCAAGAAGGAGGAGACGGAAAAACTGAGACTGGAGGAAGAAGAGAGGAAGAAAAAAGAAGAGACCGAAAGGTTGAGGCAGGAAGAGGAGCGGAAACAGAAGGAAGAAGAGCAAAGATTGAAGGCGGAAGAGGATCGCAAACGTAAAGAGGAGGAGGAGGAGAGATTGAAACAGGATGAGGAACGACGGAAAACGGAACAGGCCGAGAAGATGAAACTAGAAGAAGAAGAACGAAAAATGAGAGAAGAGAAGGAGAAGCGAAAGCGTGAAGAAGAGGAGCGTAAGAAGCAGAAAGAAGCTGAAAGGTTGAAGGAGGAAGAACGTGAAAAGAGAGAGCAAGAGGAACAAATGAAACGAGACGAAGAAAAACGCAAACAGGAAGAAGAAGCTATGAAACTGAAGGAAGAGGAGGAGCGTAAAAAGATCGCAGAGGCGGAGAAGACGAGGTTGGAAGAACAGAAACGTGAACAAGAGGAGGAGGCCAAGAAATTGAAGGTGGAGGAAGAGAAACGCAAGCAAGAAGAGGAAGCTAAGAAACTAAAAGAAGAAGAAGCGAAACGCAAGCAAGAAGAGGAAGCTAGAAAACTAAAAGAGCAAGAAGAGAAACGCAAGCAAGAAGAAGAAGAAGCTAAGAAACTGAAAGAAGAAGAAGAGAAACGCAAGCAAGAAGAGGAAGCTAGAAAGCTAAAAGAAGAAGAAGAAGTGAAACGTAAACAGGAAGAGGAAGCGAAGAAATTGCGAGAAGAAGAAGAACGCAAGAAGGCCAAGGAGGCTGAGAAACTGAAGCTAGAAGAACAGAAACGTCAACAAGAAGAGGAGGCGAAGAAACTGAAGGAAGAAGAGGAACGTAAGAAGACCGAGGAGTCTGAGAAACTGAAGCTAGAAGAACAGAAACGTCAACAAGAAGAGGAGGCGAAGAAACTGAAGGAAGAAGAGGAACGTAAGAAGACCGAGGAGTCTGAGAAACTGAAGCTAGAAGAACAGAAACGTCAACAAGAAGAGGAGGCGAAGAAACTGAAGGAAGAAGAGGAACGTAAGAAGACCGAGGAGTCTGAGAAACTGAAGCTAGAAGAACAGAAACGTCAACAAGAAGAGGAGGCGAAGAAACTGAAGGAAGAAGAGAAGCGCAAAAAGAAAGAGGCCAAGAAGCAAAAAGCCGAGGAGGAAGCGCGGAAGCAGGAAGAGGAAGCTAAGAAACTAAAAGAACAAGAAGACGAACGCAAGAAGGCTGAGGAGGCTGAGAAACTGAAACTGGAAGAAGAGAAACGTGAGCAGGAAGAGGTCGCTAAAAAGCAGAAAGAGGAGGAGGAGAAGAGACGTAAACAGGAGGCAGAGACTAAGAAACTTAAAGAAGAGGAAGAACGCAAGACAGCGGAAGAAGCTGAGAAACTGCGGAAGGAAGAAGAGAAACGTAAGCAGGACGAGGAAGCTGAAAAGCTGAAGCAGGAAGAAGAAGAACGTAAGAAAACCGAGGAAGCCGAACAGCTTAAATTGGAGGAACAGAAACGCAAGCTGGAGGAAGAAGATAAGAAGCTGAAAGAAGAAGAGAAGCTGAAACAGGAAGAGGAAGCTAAGAAACAGAAAGAACAAGAAGCTAAGAAACTGAAGGAGGAGGAAGCTAAGAGAGTTAAGGATGAGGAAGCTAAGAAACAGAAAGAACAAGAAGGTAAGAAACTGAAGGAGGAGGAAGCTAAGAAGGTTAAGGATGAAGAAGCGAAGAAACAGAAAGAACAAGAAGCTAAGAAACTGAAGGAGGAGGAAGCTAAGAAGGTTAAGGACGAAGAGGCTAAGAAGCAGAAAGAACAAGAAGCTAAGAAACTGAAGGATGAGGAAGCTAAGAAGGTTAAGGATGAAGAAGCTAAGAAACAGAAGGAACAAGAAGCTAAAAAGCTGAAGGAAGAGGAAGCTAAGAAACTGAAGGAAGATGAAGTTAAAAAGCAGCAAGAAGAGGAAGCTAAGAAACTGAAGGAAGATGAAGTTAAAAAGCAGCAGGAAGAGGAAGCTAAGAAAATAAAGGAGGAAGAAACTAAGAAACAGAAGGAAGAGGAAGCTAAGAAACTGAAGGAGAAGGAAACTAAAAAACAGAAGAAAGAGGAAGCTAAGAAACAGAAGGAAGAGGAGGCTAAGAAACAGAAGGAAGGGGAGGCTAAGAAGCTGAAGGAACAGGAAGCTGAGAAACTGAAAGAACAAGAAGCTGAAAAGAAGAAAGAAGAGAAAGCAAAGGAACAGGAAGCTGAGAAACTGAAAGAACAAGAAGCTGAAAAGAAGAAAGAAGAGAAAGCAAAGGAACAGGAAGCTGAGAAACTGAAAGAACAAGAAGCTGAAAAGCAGAAGGAAGTGGAAGTTAAGAAACTGAAGGAGGAGGAAGCTAAGAAAATTAAGGACGAAGAGGCTAAGAAACAGAAAGATCAGGAAGCTAAGAAGCTGAAGGAGGAGGAAACAAAGAAGGTTAAGGATGAAGAAGCTAAGAAACAGAAGGAACAAGAATCTAAGAAACTGAAGGAAGATGAAGTTAAAAAGCAGCAAGAAGAGGAAGTTAAGAAATTGAAGGAAGAGGAAGCTAAGAAAATAAAGGATGAAGAAGTTAAGAAACAGAAGGAAAAGGATGCTGCGAAACTGAAACAGGAGGAGGAAGCGAAGCGCCTCAAGGAAGAGGAGGAACGTAAGAAAAAGGATGAGGCTGGAAAGCGTAGAAGATCGAAGGACGAGAAGAGACGCAAGAGCGAGCAGGAGGCAAAGGCGAAGCAAGAAGAGGAAGAAGAGCGGGAACAGAAACTGAAAGCGGAGAAACGGGAACAGGAGGTGAAGGCTCGCAAACTGGAGGCGGAAACTCGGGAGGAGGAAGAGAAGAAAAAGCGAGCCGAGGCCGAGAATCTGAAGCAGGAAGAGGATGAACGAACTCGAAAAAGGGAAGAAGCCGACAGGCTGAAGCAAGAGGAAGATGATCGCAGAAGAAAGGAGGAGGTCGAGAGGCTGAACAAGGCGGAATCGGAAAAGCTGAAGCAAACGGAAGAGAAGCTGCGGAAGAAGAAGGAGAAGCGGCGATTGGAGCAGGAAGAGGAGGAACGAAAGGAAAGAGAAGAAGCGGAGAGACGAAGAAAGGAACAGGAGCAGAAGAAGAAGGATCGGGAGGAGCGCGCGAAGAAGGACGAAGAGGAGAGAGCGAAGCGGGAGGAGGAGGAGCGCGCGAGAAAAGAAGAAAAGGCTAGGCTGCGTAAAGAAGAGGAGGATCGGAGGAGAGCCGAGGAAGCCGAGAGGCTGAAGAGAGAAGAGGAGCGCGACGCGCAAAGGCGAGAGGAAGCTAAGCGTCGCCGAGAAGAGCAGGGGATGCAGATCCGGCAAGAAACGGAGAGGATAAGGAAAGCGGAGGAGGAGCGGGTGAGAAAGGAGGACGAGACTCGGGAGCGGAGGAGGCAGGAGCGTGAGCACAGGCGGCACGAGGAGGAGCAGAAGTTGCTGAGGGAAGAAGAGGAGAGGTCGAAGAGGGAGGAGGAGCGTCGGAGGAAGCGGAAAGAGGCCGAGCGGCAATGGAAGGAGGACGAGGACGCTATTAGGAGGAAGCAGGCCGAGAGGATCGAGAGGCGAAGAGCCGGAGAACGGCAGAACCGCGAAGAGGCTGAACGGCTGAGGCGAGAGGACGAGGAAAGGCGGCACAGGAGGGACGCCGACAGGCAGAACAGAAGAGACGAGGCGGTGAAGGCGCTGAAGGAGGAGGGCGAACGGATGCGAAAGCGGCAGGAGGAAGAGTCCTCGAGACTTCGACAGCGTAGACAGGAACAGCTGAGGGACGACAGCTGGTCCAGACTGCGGCAGAGCGAGGCGGACTCATTGCTGAGGAAGATCACCGACGACGCCAGAACACCGAGGCCGAAAGGCATTTCCTACGACGTCGAATTCTGGCGGGACCGACGAGACAAGGCCCACCGGTACGATTCCGCCTTCGACTCCACTCTCTCCAGCACCTCCAGGTCCTACAGCTGGAGGGACTCGTTGACCTCGTTGACCAAGAGGAGGACCGACGATTTCCTCGACTACAAACTGAGGGACACCTCCATGGACAGATACTACTTTGACACGGGCTCGTACTACCGGAGAAGAAGAAGGAGGGACGACCGGATCTCGCGAGCTAGGTCCATTAGCTTGCTGAAGTACGAGGACTACTCGATCGGGGACAGCGACATCGGCTTCGCGGCTGGCAGCTCGTTCAGACCGCCACGGTACAGCAGACCGAAGACCACCTTGCGAACCGATCTCGACGGGTCCAGCGTCTCGTTGTACGTGCCTCTTAGCGCAGACACGGTGAGAATCATGATTTTATTTCCTTTATGCGAAGTTTGTTTTACACCATTTTGTACAGGGTGTCCTAAGAATGTCTCGCGATCCGGAAATGGGGGTTCCTGGGGTCATTTGAAGCAACTTTTTCCTTAGCGAAAATGTTCTAGGAGGCTCCGTTCACGAGTTATTAACGAAAAACAGTGACCAATCGGGGAGCGTGTGCAGCCGGCGCTCCGCCCTTGCGGCCAATGCCGCGTCGCGCCGGCCGTTTGACGCGGCAGTAATGGTCGCGAGGGCGGGGCGTCACTGTTTTTCGTTAATAACTCGTAAACGAAGCCTCGTAGAACAGCTTCGCTAAGGAAAAAGTTGCTTCAAATGACCTCAGGAATCCCTATTTCTGGATCGGCGAGTATATTAACGAATCTGGCGAGTAAACAAAGGATAAGTATAAGTGTAATTTAAATTAAAATAGGCTGTTGAATATTTTAAACGGTGTTTCGTGGTATTGAAATATCGATTCGTGATATCGAAACGAATTTGCTCGCAGATGGTGCCGAGGGAGAAAGGAAAGAAGCCGTCGTTCTGCACAAGGTTAACGAATAGAACGGTAGGGGTTGGTATGAGAACGAGGCTGACTTGTACCGTGCTCGGCTACCCGGAACCGAGGGTGCACTGGACCAAAGACGGCGAGAAGCTCGAGATCACGTCGAGTCGATATCGAACCCGGTTCGACAACGGTATGGCTTATTTCGAACTGCATGAAGCACTCCCCGAAGATTCCGGACTGTACACCTGTGTCGCTGAGAATGTTCACGGAATCGCAACCACCGAATCCACGTTAAAAATTTACCCCGATTTCCAACCAGCTCTGTCACCCCCTACCTTCACCAGATCCATTAAAGGTAAGCGCGCGAAGCGTAGAGCAAAGGGAAACAATTATGTCGCTCGACGAAATAAACATCATATAAATAACATATTAAGTGCCGAATATTAGTCCGAAAAAATTCACACAATATCAAAGTCGTTAAAACAATGAAACCGAAACTAGAAAGTGAAATTTTACCATAGGAAATATTGGTTCAGCTATTTTGTATTCTACAAATCTTAGTGACATTCAACTTGTTCAATATATTACAGTAAAAATGAATTTGAAAAACCTGGTTAAAAATTAGTGTCACTAAAAACAACTAAAAAATTAGTTAAAGAGCTCTCGACAAATTCTCCGTCGTCCCGATATGTTTTATTGTTGTAAATAACACGTTAAGATGATCGAAAAATCGATGGAAATTTTAAAAGTGATTAACAAAAACCTAAACGCAAACGATGATTAATTATTTGCCATTCAGTTTTTGTTCACGCTGCGTAAATAATAATAAACTATTAATAAATATATTTTTTATTATATAATATATTTATTAATATATATTATTATAATAAACTATTCTTCTACCATCGCAATGCCGCTTCGACATTTCGCAGACACCTATCGGCATTCGGATAACGAGTTAATTCTGGAGTGTCGTGTCCGCGGCAATCCCACGCCGCTTATTTCCTGGCTGAAAGACGGTTGCATCCTTCAAGGCGATCGCTACAAGCAAACTTACCTGGACGATGGCATTTACCGACTAGAGATCGCTGCACCCAATTCTTCGGACAACGGCCGCTACATATGTAGAGCCATGAATGATCTGCGCACGGAAGAAATAGCCCATATAGTCCAGTTCGATGGTAAAATATTTTGTTGATTTTCTTTCAATAATTAATATACAATTGATGTACAATTTTCAATTTTTAATTTACAATTTTCAATTCATAATTTTCAATTTACAATTGACAATTGACAATTTTCAATTCATAATTTTCAATTTACAATTGACAATTGACAATTTACAATTTACAATTTTCAATTTACAATTTTCAATTTACAATTTACAATTTTCAATCCATAATTTTCAATTCACAATTCACAATTTACAATTCGCAATTTGCAATTCACAATTTGCAATTCACAATTTACAGTTTACAGTAATCAATTTACAATTTACAATTTAACGTAATTTATTTTCAAGAACGAATTCGGCGAGGCAAGCATCACGAAATTTTTGACGACCACTTTGGCACCGATGTCTTCAAGAGGTCATACTTATCCAGTTACCTGTCCGATTACAATGTTCCTATTGGAAGTAGCATCGCCGCCCAAATCAGAGCGAAAGGTATTTTTATGAAAATAACACTTGACGCGCTAGTCTAACGGACCACTAGAAACGAGTGATTAAAAATAAAAGAATAGATAATGTATATGAACCATTTAATTTAAAAATAGTGTGACTCCATTAAAAAAATAAATTAAATATCACATAATTAATGATTAATTTAGTGTAACGTTTTTATTCATAACTAAAAAAAAATGGACTTGCACCACTTTCAAAATAAACGGTCCATATATCTCCGAAGAATCGAAATTGAATAAATGTTCCATAAACGCGTGTGCGCAGGCGCGTCCGCGCCGGAAGTGAGATGGTTCCGCGGCGAAAGAAGAGAACCGTTTTCTTTTTCGAAAGCGAAAGCGTTCACAGACTTCGGTATTCACACTTCCTTCGTGCCGGAGATTTCCGAATCGGAGAGGGGCTCGATCATATCGAAATATTTTGGGCACGTGGACAGCATGAGCACGATGGACTTAAAATCGGCGGGCGTCATGGAGACCGGGAAGCCCGCCATGTTTGTTTCGAGACCCGCTGAAAAATCGATCACCGTCACCACTGGAGAAGATGTCAGCGTGTCGTTTAGATGCGCTGGAAATCCCAGACCACGAGGTAAAATGAAACAATTAATAATAATATAATAATAATTATTATTATATTAATATTAATTATAATTATATTTAATATTATTATATTTTATTGATATTAATTATTATAATAATATAATATTAATTATAATAATGTAATTATTATATTAATAATAATATAATCATTCTTCCGCATTTCTTATAAAAATTTTTTTTATTTAAAAATCCGATATCTAACTCGAAAAGTTCGCCCTGAATTTTTCAGTGACCTGGATGAAAGGACTGAGAGACATCACTAACGGCCCTAGATCCATCAAGGAAGTCATCGATGACTATGTCAGACTGACCTTGAAAAGGGTAACACCTTCGGACGAGGGCACCTATTGCATACTTGTGAAGAACAGACACGGATGCGACAGAAGCTTCTTCTCTATCAAGGTAAATTAACGATATTGAATATAATCATTTGATCATACATACAATAACTTAGGTTTGTTACGATTATTTAGGTGAAACAACGTGCCAGATCGTTGACGCCAGATTGGAGTACCGTCAGCAGCCGCACCGACACCGGAAGTCTTCTAGGTCTGTCGACTGAGAGCCGCGACGATGAAGTGCCCTACGTGAAAAGTGAGTTGCTCTTTTTACCTTTTCTTTTAGAAGGTATATTATGTATATAATATAGTATACAGGGTGTCCCAAAAATGTCTCGTAATCCGGAAATGGCGGGTTCCTCGGTTCATTTGAAGCAACTTCCTCCTTTACAAAAATTTTCTCCGAGGCACCGTTAAGGAGTTATTAACGAAAAACAGTAACAGCCAATCAGCGCTCGAAGCCCAGTTCTGCTCATTGACTCGATCGCCTTGCGCCAGCCGAGCTCGCCTCTCATTGGTCACTGTTTTTCGTTAATAACTCGTTAATAGTGCCTCGGAGAAAATTTTTGTAAAGGAGAAAGTTGCTTCAAATGTCCTGAGGAACCCGCCACTTTCGGATTGCGAGACATTTTTGGAACACCCTGTAGTATAGTAATATATAGTATATATATATATATATATATATACGAATATTTTATTTAGCTTTGATCGTCTGAAAAAATTGTGAAGTAAATTTTAAAAAGATCATTTATGTTATAGAGACTTTTGCTATTAATTTCTATTTCTGTAATATTTCCGTTTGCTTAATCATTCTTTCCCAATTTTGTAAGCAGAGGATCCGCTTGCATCGTAATTTTTGTTTCTTAAAATTAACGAATTAACGATTGCGTCGGGCAACGAAAACGGGAGAATGAAAATCACGTTCACGGTGAAGCAAACTGGCGTGTCACAGGTATACGAATTAAACGCGGCAGCGCTCTGGATTTTATAGTGTATAAGAAAATCTCGCGGGACAAATGTAACGAGGTATGAAATTTCATCTGAATCGGATTCATGTCATAACATTGTTATTTCATGAAGCCTATTGACAGACGTGTCTGCGCGCCTCTGCGCGTGAACTCGAAGCTGAAATAGAGCCAAATGTGACGGTTCCTTGACCAAGGCTTCGCGCGTTTAAAAATACAGCAATGTCTTCCTAACTGGCGCTCAGATTGTCCACAAAAATGGACAATTTGGGAAGAGAAGATACGATTATTCGAGCCTTGCGGTTTATTTTTATGGTTATAAATTATTCACAATTATAAAAATGAGCCGCAAGGCTCCAATAATCGTATCTCCTCTTCCCAAATTGTCCATTTTTCTGCACAATCTGAGCGTCAATTAGGGAGAATATACTGTATTGTGGCACGCCGGAAATAACATACCGTGCAACGATCGAAACAAACGTGGTCCGTTTCGCACGCGCGAAATAAAAAAGAAAGGTCCCTCGAGCATGATTAAATAGGTACATCGAACGCGACGAAGCGAATCGCAAATGTTGGAGAGACTTCGCGAATCTCGAATTAGAATCGAATGAAACATCCTCGCGCAAACGTTGCGTTCGCGTTCGAGAGAATCCCTCTGTAGAATTCACCCCAAATTCGAGTTCATCCGTTGACTCAAATGAAAAATAGGTTCGCGCAATAAACAATAATTCGCAGACTATTCTAATTCGGAAATGATTATTTTATAAAAATTACTTCTACATATAAGATTATTTTTAAAAATTGAACTTCAATTTTTATTTAAACATGAACGTAGCGCACTTGATCGAAATTAAATTATATTCAAATTTAACTTAACAAGTGGCTATTTATTAGAAATTATTATAGAAGGGCGCGTCGTTAAATTCGAAATCTCGGACTTAAGCTGTCGCTAAATAAATATTTATTTGTGAAATGAATTAACCTGCTGACAATTATTCCTATTTTGATATCGATCGTTCCCGTGACGCGATAATCGATTGTAAACGATGCGTGAGCTGCGTTATAGCGAGATAGAAATTTAATATTTAATACTAGGAAACGGTCGAAAATACACAGATGAAATTACTGGAGCATGTGGCCCATTCGAAGTAGGCCGTCGATAAATAAACATCGTAGCACGGAATCTGTAATATTAGAATGCGCTACGAATCAAAAATTCTCCGTGAAATTAATGTTTCGCATTTATCGAGGCGCGCGTGCGTCCAACGAGATTGCAATTACACACAATTGCAACCTATCGCATTAATCTATATTGATAAACTAACAAAAGATGACAAAACTGGAGTCGAGTAAAATAATGCACTATTAACTAATATAAACAAGCTGATTCAATTTTACTCGAACTAAACATTGAAACTCCACGATTCTAAGAAAATAGAATAAAATAATTGACAAATTATTGAGAGAAGAATAATTCGTCGTCTTACAAAATTCATCTACAATTTTATCTGACGAATAATAAATTAGAGGTCCTTATAGCAATAATAATATAGCAAATAATAAAAAAAGAAGCGACATAAAATCGTAGACGTATTTACCAAAGGAAATTGTTTATAATTAAACAGATGATAACTAGAACAACGTCGCCTTGAATTCTGCTTCAGTTTCGACCCCTCCACCATCCTGACAGCTTGATCCGCTATAAATACAAACGTTTCCGCAGTCTATTTATTACAATACAAAATCCCGAGCACTTGCAGTCACTTTAAATCACTCCCAATGCCATGCCGAGTGGATCCACGGCTACCAGTAACCTTTTGCAACAACGAATTACGATAATGTCATTGTTAAGCTTTTCAGTATGACCGACAATACCTGGTGACGCTTAAGGAGATCTGTCCTTTTCGAAAACTCCTTGATTAATGCATCTAAATGATATCACAATTAAAAATGTGTATTATTTGTAGTTAATTATAATGGAATAGTTTTAATAGAAATAGAAATTGTCGTAGATATTTATTATGAATTTAAATTGCAATAGATTTTTGATGGAACTATAAATCGTGATAGATTTTTATTATGAAATTAAAATGGAATAGATTTTTCATGGAAATATAAATTGTAGTAGATTTTTATTGTGAATTTAAATTGCTATAGATTTTTTATGGAACTATAAATTGTGGTAAATTATGAAATTAAATTGCTATAGATTTCCAATAGAAATATAAATACGTGATAGATTTTTATAACGATAGATTTTTAATGAAAATTTGAATTGAAGCAGATTCGTCGGCCGCAAAAGTGCAAACGTTCGTGCCCGTTTCGGTCGGTAAATAAGCTTGGAAAGACGCGATCGGTGATCGCGGCACCGCGTATCCGCGAATTATCAGCGGAAATAGGTGACACAAATCTATAAAGTGATGTTCTCGATACGATGACGGACAAACACGAAGCGACACACCGCCTACATACGTACACAGTCGCGGGTACACCTCTCCCGTGTCGGTTTATTTTCGTTTGCCTTGCCGATTCGCCTCCCGCCGGCCTCCCTCTGTATCCACAAATTCGAAATTCAGTCGGCGTCGGGACGCGAGTCATTTCGTACGCCGCCCCACTTTTTTCGATCCTTGGGCAACGCGATAAAACACCTTGACATTTTCGGTTTCGCTCGGTGCGCGTCGTTTTACGGTGTCGCGCGGCGAGGAATTCTGCGAAGTCGCGGCAAAGAATTCTGCGAACCGCAGAATTTTCTTTTTTTTTCTTCTTCTTCTTTACTTTCTGATGGCACTCGAAAGTTGAGAGAGAGAAACACGTTCGGAAGTTTTCGGTCGTCGCTGGAAGTTCTGAGAAGCGGTCGGAGATGATCCAGTTCGTCGAGGATGAAGCCGCATGATCACGGAATCGTGAACGGCGATCAGGAACTAACGATTTCTCGGCTGAGACGATCCTGGTCCGGGAAGGACTGTCTGATCGTCGAGTTTCTCGAATACTTGTACGGGCACAGAGGTCAGCGTCGACATTTTCTAGAAATTGTTAAATTATAGAGCCGTATATAGTAAGGAGCTATCGATAATGACAATTATGTAAAATGAAAAATAAAATTTTCAACGCGAAAATAATATTCTGATAAATCCTACGACAATGCTGAGTGCCACAGTTTCAATGAAATAGGTGCATTAGTTTTTAATTAATATTTAAAAATATTATTTAATTTGTATAATGATCTATAGTATATAATATATAATTATATATGTGTCAATACATATATATTATAATATTATTATATTAATATATAATAATTTAAATATAATAGTATCAATATATAATATATTATACATATAATTACATATTATAATATATTATAAATATAATTATATGCAATAATATATTATATTTAATTATATATAACATAGTATATCTAATAAAAATCGAATATAGATTTAAAGTAGCAGACATTGTTAAACTATAACAGTTCAGAATTTAGAAGAATCAGTTCTCTCAACTTTCTTGAACGTCCTCTTATTTCTAAGAATTTGCGTTGCAATTGATAAAAAGCCTATTATCAATGATCTCGCCATTTGCCCGCAGATGTTCCTGGACCGATCAGCAGCGAGCCAGTTGTAGTCGATGGCGGAAAGAACTGGTTGTCGCTAAGTTGGGGCAAAGCCGAACAAAAGGGACCTGCACCGGTGATTGCCTATAGGGTCGACGCTTGGTTGCTTGGTAGCGACGGTGGTGCACGATGGGTCGAGGTAATTCCGTCGTTCATTATAGCTGACCGTGGATCTTCCTGTCAAGTTAATAATTTCTGCATTGATTGTAAGAAACGGAAACGTAGTAACAAGTTGTTCTCAGCGAGACTGTCGAGGAAATAAAAAATAAGATGACATTACGGTTATCGTAATTTTTTATTTTAATATTACATTATATTATATATTATATAATATTATATTTATTTATTATATATTATATAATATATATTATGTATTTTTAATATTACGAATTTCGAAGATTTTCGTTGAACTACTGGCGCGCGAAGATCCAAAGTTATTATCTTTCCGTTTCCGACGCGCCAGATTTCTTGGCGAAGAAAATTTATTTTCCACGCGAATACAATGTTGTGTCCGGGCTAACCGCCTACTAATTTTTTGTCTAACGGTGCCAACTCCGAGGGAATCGAGTGAGTAACACCTGTTTACATCATTTATTCACACCCGACACGTAACTAATTTTACGTACCAATAATTCATACATACAACTGTATATACAAAATAATTTTTAACTTGCTTCTCATTTAGCTTTGATTAACTAAATGCTAATTAAAATAGCTAGAAGCTAAATTTAATTAGCTCATTAGCTCCAATTTGATTCCTATTTATTATCGAGTTGACCGAAAAGATGATCCACGTTTCCATTGGGCTCATTTGTTCTCAATAAACATGCTAACGGGGATGAATGAAAATGAAGACGCTAAAAATGAAAGAAACACAGAGACATTATCAAAAGAAATTAACAAATTATAGTTTAAAATACTGATCAATTTAAAATTCTTATTAATCATTATGAACTTACAATAGTATAAAAAATTTATTCAAACTGTTTAAATCTGTTCCAAAATTAACCCTGCTTATCGACATAAATATCATTGCACAACGATCATTTATTGATCGAGAATTCTCATTGGTCTCTTTCTACGAAAAAGTCCTCGGAGTTTCAACGATCATAAAATTAAAAATAATATAATATTTCACGGGTCATTTTGACCGGCACGACGATTTCGACGTTAAATTCTGCTTGCCTCTTTGTCCTCCGAAAATATTGTCACGAAATTCGGAATGTTTTCTGGACCAGCTGGGCATAACACCGATCAACGCTTTCGACGCGTTCAACCTGAAGCCCGGCGGCGAGTACAAGTTCCAGGTGACGCCGCGGAATCGGTACGGATGGGGCGAGTCCGTAACTATGACGAATTCCGTGAAGGTCAGCGAGACCGTCGATCTTCCCGAGTTCACGAAAATCTTGCCCGGTCAGCTCAAGGTTCTCGAGGGGGCAACAGTGAGGTTGGAGTGCGAGGCAAGTAACCTGCTCTATTATTACACGTGCGTGACTACATTTTGTTCCGCTGCGTTTCGTCATTATGCTTGTCGTGCACGTTCGTAATTCCGTGGTCGGAATTGCCGTACCGAGCAGGTCGGAAGCGACGAAGATCGGAGATTATATTAACAGCCGGAAATGGCGAATACCTTCAAGTAACTTTTTCCTTTACAGAAATATTCTCCGACGCGTCGTTGTCGAGTTATCAACGAAAAACAGTGACCAATGAGAGGCGAGCTCGGTGACCGCGACGCGGCCGAGCCAATGAGCGGAACTGGGCTTCAAGCGCCAAGTTGACCAATGAGAGGCGAGCTCAGTGCGAGGCTGTCCAGCCAACGAGCGGACGAGGCTCGGTTCCACTGATTGGCTCGCCTGGCGCGAGGCGGTCGAGCCAACGAGCGCTTGAAGCCCATCATTGGCTCGGCCGCGTCGCGGTCACCGAGCTCGCCTCTCATTGGTCACTGTTTTTCGTTAATAACTCGTGAACGACGCGTCGGAGAAAATTTTTGTAAAGGAAAAAGTTACTTCAAATCACCTCAGGAATCACCCCTTGCCAGGCGTTAACATAATTATGGGACAACCTGTATAGTATACGATATGCTATGAACTATGCGTATTACGAATTTTATACAATTATGTAAATAAACCTAAATCAAATGGAAATTAGCAATCAACAAATAAAGCCGAGTTATATCGGTATAAAATGCTAGGGAATATACGAAATACGGAAAATGCATGAATGAAAATGAAAAATGTGAACGATTTTCGTTGCAGATACGCACAGACTCGAAGGTCGATATAAAATGGTACCGTGAATCGTCCGAGATAGATTTGAATTGCGAGCCGAGATGCTCGATCTCCCGTATCGGAACGCAGTGTTCGCTCAAGATCGAAAACGTCCAAGAGGCCGATTCCGGGCGATACGTGTGCGAGGCCAGCAACTTGATCGGCAAAGTATCGTCGTTTGCTAGAGTGCTCGTCGTCAATGATCCGAAGATCATTGAGGCGGATGCGAAACTCAAATCAAGGTACAGATAGTCTATTTATTTTCAACGGTACGACCTTTTTTTCGATACCGTACGAAAATCGATACTACAGAGAATAAAACGATATGTTAGAAGTAGCAGTTGTCGAATTAAGTTGTATCATATCTTTTGAGTAACCATAAAAGGATAATGTTCACGAGAAATTGTAGTTTATAAATTATTTTCTACGTCCCCCCGTCATCCGAATACAATATTATTGTGGGCCCGAACGATGCGCGACCTCGGATAAGTCCCCCCATCAACGTGCAAAATTAACGATGTAGTCGACAATTTGAAAACGCAAAATTGTTGCTCGCTACGACGTGCGAGGTTATGTCAAGGTCAGAGTTGACGTTCGTGCTATACGCAATCTTCTCGATTATGAGAGCGAGGTAATAGAACAAGATTAACCTTTTTAACTAGATTAGTTTGTCAACACTGAGATTTTTGGATAGTCTAGATCATCGAGGTTGGTATTTTTGGGTTAACCTTTCCTTGGGGGGGGGGGTGACTTTCCAGTGTGTCCTTCCGGCATCCTTGCGTCTAAGGCAAAACTAGCTAGAAAAGCCTTATTAATGAGAGCCCTCTAGCGGGACCCGGACGAAACGCTTCCCTTTCTTTCCCTCCATATTCCGCGATCACTCTACACACGACTGTTTGAACAACGCAGTGTGCGCAGTGTACATTCCAATGGATGTTGCTGGGAAAAGTCTAAAAATTGAAGTCCCGAATTTAGGAATGCAATTAAAATAAAGTCCAGAATTCATTCGATAGCAGCGCCGCTCATTGGACTACATCCATGGACCAGGAATGCATCAATGTGGCGCCCTAACCTGTCAGAAACGCTAGAAGTTCGTCAACTTTGCACGCGCATAACTTTTTAACAGCAGATAAATTCAGCACTTGTTTTAATAATATTCCTAGATTTGGATTTTCGACTTTTCTTTTTTTCAAAATCCGTTGGAATGTACACTGGAAAGTCAAGAAAATAGAAACTTTCCCCGAGGAAAGGTAGAACCGTATTTTTTCCTAGATTTGATTTAACAAGGTTGATAGTTTTTTAGATTAATACTGTTATACATACGATTTCATGGGGAGTCGCGGTCCGACAAGGGCCCGAATACATTGCGTTTATGTTTTACTGTCGATGCGCAGCGAGCTAATAGACGATCTCGAAGACAGACCACCGCAATTCACCATGAGGATTCGGGACAGAAGGGTTCAAGTGTCGTATCCCGTGAGACTGACCTGCCAAGTGACCGGCCATCCTGCTCCGGAAGTCACGTGGCACAAAAACGACCAGGAGATCTGTCAAGATGGTGAATACGCTTTCTAAAACTTTATCTCTTTTCGCGATTTCAACGATTTTCATTGGTCTATCGGCTACGCGTCGCATGTCCTATGCAATATCAAATTTAAAAACATAGTACAGACGTAAGAAGAATTAAATAATTGTAATTATTCATTATATTTCATTTCTTAATATTTTATTATTACTTATCATATTTATTTATAATTATTATTAATTATAGTCACACAACATTCAACTTATCAAAATTATTAATAGAAGCAATTTATTTTTATTTCATTTCTGTTTCTTGTAATCGTCTTCAGACATTTTTATTCTCCATAAGAATCCGCATTCTAGTAATTAAAAAAATGAATCGAAGGTTTCTCAGTATGCAGGGTATCCCAAAAAAGTCTCGCAATCCGAAAGTGGCGGGTTCCTCGGGTCATTTGAAGTAACTTTTTCCTTTACAAAAATTTTCTCCGAGGCACCGTTAACGAGTTATTAACGAAAAACAGTGACCACTGAGAGGCGAGCTCGGCTGGCGCAAGGCGACCGAGCCAATGAGCGGAACTAGGCTTCGTGCGCTGGTTGGCTGGGCCGCCTCGCGTCAGCCGTACTCGATTCTTATTGGTCACTGTTTTTCGTTAATAACTCGTTAACGGTGCCACGGAGAAAATTTTTGTAAAACAAGAAATTGCTTCAAATGATCCGAGGAACCCGCCATTTTCGGATTGCGAGACATTTTTGGGACACCCTGTAGATTTAACATTTTTCTGTCCAATTACTGCGACACAAAGTTGATCGAGTCTATGGGCTCTGAAAATGCCATAAAAGTAAAGCGGGCTCCTCCTTTCGAGAAACGTTCGTATTTTGATCGACGGTCGACGGAAATGTTGCGATTACGATGACACACCGGGTAGTGACGGATATCTCGTTCGTTGAAGAGCGCCACGTGTTCTGGAACAACGATTCGAATTTCTACACGCTGGAGATCGTTCACTCCACTCTGGAAGATTCTGGCTGTTATATGGTGACAGCGAGGAATGTGAATGGGTCGGTGTCCTGTCGCTGTATCCTCGTGGTGGACAAGGGAATCCGTGCTTACATAGCGCCGGAATTCCTCTGCGGCCTCGACGCCGCGTACATGGTGAAATCGGGAGAGGACCTCCGAATCACTGCTCAAGTCGAGGCATATCCTAGCGTCGGTGTTGTATGGTAATGACTGCTTCATAGAGACTACTTAAATTCTGTTGCATTTAATATAATACATTAATTCTAAATCATCTAATACTAATTTGCATAACAATTCACGCTATTTACGAAATTTACAAAATTTATAAATAACGATCTACAAATAATGATTTATTAAAAACGATTTACCAATAACGATTTACAAATTATGATTTACAAATAACGATTTATAAATAACTATTTACAAATAACAATTTACAAATGACTGAAATCATATCTTATAATCTCTTTTTGCAACGAATCCTTAAAAATTGGCGTACGATTTTTCTTTACGATTTTATTGCATTTCAAGTGGAAACAGACCCTTTGATTTCGTGGAGTACTGTTATTCAAATAAAAACCTCCTAGAACTCGAATCATCGTATAATATCGTATTTTTGAAAAATATATTTGACAAACAGTTGCTTGAGAATAAGAGGAACACTAATTAATCGCGTGTTTAGGCACCGAGATGGAATTCGTCTTCGACCAAGTCGAAGGGCAGTGATGACCTTGGATCACGATGGCACCGTCGGACTGTCGTTGGGCAAGGTTACCGAAAGAGATGCTGGCGTTTACATCTGCACCGCTACCAATGAAGTTGGCCGGGCCGAAACCTCCGCGAAGGTGACGGTCGTTGCCGGAAGATGGCAAACGGAAGATGACGAGGTGTCGATCGAAGAGCCGCCGTCTGTTACGGTTGCGACACCGGATATACCGTAAGTTCATCTATTCGTTTGCTTATCAAAATAATCTATCGTTACATCGAGTTAACATATAAATAATGTAAACTAGTATACTTTTACATACTATGGGGTGTCCCAAAAATGTCTCGCAATCCGGGAATGGCGGGTTCCTCAGATCATTTGAGGCAACTTTTTCCTTTACAAAAATTTTCTCCGAGACACCGTTAATGAGTTATTAACAAAAAACAGTGATCAATAAGAATCGAGTACAGTTGACGCGAGGCGGCCCAGCCAACCAGCGCGCGAAGCCCAGTTCCGCTCATTGACTCGGTCGCCTCGCGCCAGCCGAGCTCGCCTCTCATTGGTCACTGTTTTTCGTTAATAACTCGTTGACGGTGCCTCGGAGAAAATTTTTGTAAAGGAAAAAGTTGCTTCAAGTGACCCGAGGAACACGCCACTTTCGGATTGCGAGACATTTTTGGGACACCCTGTATATTTTTACATAGTATATAAAAGTACATACATTATTTTAACATAGTATATTTTTACATACTATAATAATGTAAAAATAGTAAACTTCCTACGAATATTCGAGAATTGTTAACTAGTTAATTCGATGAAAACTTCTAGATACTCGAAGGAGCCTCTCTTCATCACAAAGCCATTGTCAACCGAGGCGATCGAAGGCGACACAGTCATTATATCGTGCGAAGTGGTCGGCGATCCCAAACCGGAAGTAATGTGGCTGCGCGACTTTCTGAAGGTAAGAAGCATCCTTCAACTGCGCGTTCAATTTTGCATATTCGCTGCCGTAATTTAATAATGCTAGAACATTTTTTCAAATTTTTTCATATTACACATTATTTCATTCATTCATATTTTCATATTATTATTATTTCTGATCACTTTTATTTATATCTTCGTCAATGGCAATGTTGTTCGATCCGAAAATGAACCGCGCAACTGAGATAAATGTGTACTATAAATGACAAGTAAAGTAAAAAAAATCGCGCATAAAATTTAATTATTTATATGCAAATTTGTTAAATTAATATATGCGAAATAATGTTATATAATTCATAAGTGTTGATTTCAAAACATATAAATAAACCAGAAACACAGAAATAATATATTTCTTGCAAACAAATACAATCGGCAACGTCCATCAAATATCGACGCTTAAATAAACGAACAAATGTTCACAATTGACTACAAATACGTGAAATTACTATCTGCAAAATATTGTACTCGTGATTTATCTTTTCACGAATAAATCAGAGACGCATCAATCATACTTTCTCGCAAGCAGGTATAATTCGTCCCATCGATCTAATATCAACGAACAAATAAACGTCTAGATTTTTCTAATCGACTGTACGTACAAATCTAGGATCCGTAAGAACCGCTATAAACATCGCAAATGAATCAAATCGTTCCGCCGGTCGAACATTCGCAATACGTTCACGTCGCTGAACGTGACCGGGGTTCGACCGAGACTCATTAAATAGACGCGTTTACATTTTCTTCGACGCGTTCTACATGTATAATATTCACCGTTGACAATTTGTCATCGTTTCGCCGCGTGTCCGTGCGGCGGCGCGGCGTGGTCCGAGGCTCCGTGTGGCCCGAGGCCCGGCGTGGCCCGAGGCTTGGTAAAGGACGAGCGCGCGAAAAGGAAGGAAAAGAAGAGAAGAGAAAAGCGCCGCGCGACAGCCTAGCGGGTGGCTGATCGCGGACGGAACGAGAAAAAGAAAGGAGAGGTTGCGCAATCGGTGAAATGACGTGTCCCTAATGCTGTCTTGATCCATGATGTGGGTCAAGGTGATTGCGAAAAAGAAATGACAACGTAACATACCGCATTATGCCCATAAATGGGCGAACCATTATATGCGCGCCGGGGAAACGGCATTGATATCGGACGACTCTTTAAAAGGTAACAGTAAGCTACGTGAGAGGTTAGACACCCGGTGCGCAGAGAAAGAGTGAAATTTATTGCTCAATCGGGAAGGTCTTCGATGATCGGATTTGTAACGATGGGAACGCGTTCGTCGGTGGTCTGACCACTGGTCGGATGCGACTACTGAACGTCCTATCGCGCCGCGCAAACGACGCTGTCGGGAACGGGAAACGATTTTTTCGTCTTCGTGCATCTTACTTTTATTTTATCCTTAGAAGTTTCCTAATTTTAGCGAACAGTTTTCGTTTACCGTGCACCTACAGCTGCGCTCGTGAACGACTTTTCATTTCACGGATTCTACATCATATACAGGGTGTCCCATAATTATGTTTATCCGCACGAAAAACAGTGATCGGTGAGAGGCGAGCTCGATTGGCGCGAAGCAGCCGAGCCAACGAGCGCACGAAGCCCGGTTCCGCTGATTGGCTCGACGGTCGCGCGTCAGCCGATCTCGCCTCTCATTGGCCAACGGTTTTTCGTTAATAACTCGTAAACGAAGCCTCGGAGAACATTTTTGTAAAGGAACAAGTTACTTCGAATGACCTCGGGAATCACCTATTGCTGTCGATATAGTTATGGGACATCCTGTATACAATGTAGGATACGTGAGATTCGAAAAAAAAATCGAGAAAATTTAGCGCAGTTCTATAAAAGTTATTGCGTTTCGAAAAGTGTCCGAATATTAACGAGAGTCGCTCTATATTGATTCAGCTGAAGCTGAAAGAAGGCTCGAAAACACTCGAACAACGAACCATTTAGTTTATTTAACAATAAACTAATATTAATATTAATAAAAAATATTAAATATATATAATATTATTTATCCATCTTTTCTAACATATTCTTTAAGATGCTTTACGTTATATATTTGCACATACAGTAAATTCTCCCTAATCGACGCTTGGCTTGGAAACAAAAATGGATAATTTGGGACATTTTTATAATCGTAAATTGTCAACAATTATAAAATAATCGCATCTTCTCTTCCCAAATTGTCCGTTTTTGTGTTCAAGCTAAAGGGAAATTAGGCAGAATTTGCTCAAGTTTTCGCGAGGGCGTTCGTGCGTGGATTCGACCGCGACGAATGGAAAGGTTATGTCTCAAGGTTATGTCAATTCCCTCGTTAATGGAAAGTCGAAATGGTAAGCGGAAGCGACCGGTGACCGGAAAATCGCGCGGTATGTATACGGCGTCCGCTTCGCCGACGGATATCTGCATTAGCGAAAAGAGCGCGCAGAAGAGGGCTCCCCTCCCCACTTTTCCTGAACGAAGTCGGCTTTCTTCGTCGATGGATCGGTACCTACTGCAAAAGTACGGCCGGCAAAACAGTCGTCGCGTGTCTTCGGCGAACGTACAGCCGTCTCTCGTCCTCCAATCGATCTCCCTCGCGGTCCTCGCGCGGTGACATGGATATTTCCTATTCCGGTTGCGACGAATATTCCGACGGAACGTCGTCGGGACAGTGACATCTTTGTTCGTTGAACCGTCTGCGACGCTGTCACGCCATTGGATGCGTAAGTCTCAGCGAGAAATATCGCGAAATATTCTGTTCATTCTTTTTTTTTTTATTCTGTTCATAATTTCGTTCGACAACATCGACGATTAAGCATTTTTTTCGCGTCACTTTCGCAACAATTAGAAAACCGAATCCCTCGCATTGTTAATTTCATTCGATCCCTAATAATAATAATTTGAAATGGGCGCGTGCTCGATTTCGTCGCGGATTCGTAAAATTCGCGGCTTAATTGTTTACAGTTATTTCGGAGATTTTGCAGTCATTGTAAATCGTGCGAGATCGTTGCGACTCGACTGTCTTTGCGACTCGCATAAATTCGACCGTTTCAAATGGACTTTGCGAGAGGGTTCCCGAAGAATTCGACGCCGGTGAATTGTATGCAAAACACCGGCGCTGGAGAGATTTCATTATGTCGTTTAATTGAAGTTTTTCGGTCGATCGGACAGAACGCGATCATCCACTTTGATATAGAAAAGAATAAGTTATAAATACTAATAAGCTAGAGCAAATAATAAATAAGTGGAAAAATTCGCGGTATTGTAATTACCATGGCTAATAGCGTATCGTATGATATACCGTGTACACTTACCGACAAAAATTTGTTATTTTAACAGATTTATGTTTTACCAAATTCAAAGTTTTTTCTTTATATCGCGATATTGCTTTATTTTGTGCACAAGACAGATGAGAAAGATAATTGAAATTAAAATGCAATTGAAATCTAAGGATTAAGAATTAAATAGAAAATAAAATAGAAATAAAAAGTTAAGAAATTATAGACTACGGTAATTTAACGGTTTTAATTTAATGCTTTAATGGTATAATTAAGACGAAAAAGACAAAAAAATTTTGTCTTTTTAGATAGATAATTAGAAGATAATAGAAATTAAAACGCAATTGGAATCTAACAATTAAAAATGAAATAGAAAATAAAATAGAAATAAAAAGTTAAGGAATTATAGACTACGGTAATTTAACGGTTTTAATTTAATGCTTTAATGATATAATTAAGCCTATGATAAGACAATGTTATCGCACCCACGAATCTGCATTTGTGCAATTTAATTTTTGAACGGAGTAACATTTTTCAGAATGGTTCGAGGGACTCGTATATTTTTGAGATGTTAGACCGACTAGTTTATTATAAAACAATTATGCAACAAATTTGTTAGACTGCAATCGAATTAAAATTTAAAAAATCAAAAAGAGATTATATGTTCTCAACATTTTTATCCGAGACTATAACGAAGGTTTAAAAAAATACATTTTGTAGATCACGGTAACTTGTACGCAGGCTGAAAATTTCATCGAAATCGGTTCACCTGGGCCCGAGTTTCAAGCTCGAAAATATTCGAGTCCTTCGAAGCAATTTTTGAAAAAAAGTTATTCCGTTTCAAACTGTATTTATTCCGTTAATGCAATTTCCGGGCGAGCGTCTGCAAATAGTACAAAGCATCTCGTCGATAAAATCGCATCCTCGATTAGAGCGGGGTTTTCGGCGTTGCGTAAGAATCGTTCGGTTCTTGTTATCGATATATCGTTGATCCTCTCGGAATCGGGCACCGAGAGACCTCAAAGTTGCGATCTCCCCGACATGAGTCACTCCGGTGCGGCGATCGCTACGGTGCTCGTTAGGGCGACCATTGGAGTGGCCGACGCGCGCACACTAACGTCGCCGTCTGTTCGCCGTAAAGTTGGCCGAGTCCGAGTTTCCTCTCTCGTTCGGACCCGTCGGTCCGAGCGGACGCGACTCGAGCCATGGCGAGACGACGCGACGCGACACGACGGAGCCGCCAAATACGTCCAAGTTTGTTTTCACGTAGCTGTGCAGCTGCGGCTGCTAAATCAGGAAAAAACGCGCGCCGATTTCGCGACAGGACTCCCGCCGAACGAAAACTCGGGATCACTTCGAGCCCCTTCTGCCCCCCCCCCCCCCTCCACCGCACCGAACACTAACTTTCGAATACTCCTCGTCTCGTGGAAAATAAATCGTTGCTGAATTGCGAGCTTTTCGCCGGTGCAAAATTTTCTGATAATTAGACAGAATTGCAGTGAAATTCGATTCTTGCATAATTGAACGATGACGAAGCGGAGGCTAGTTTTGATCTCGGTATAGTAAACCTTGAATTTATGCGATCAAATTTATAGTAAACAAAGTTCGTATATTTTAAAACAAAATTCATATATAAATTTATAACAACATTCGTATATAAATTTGTAACAAAATTCATATTTAAATTTATAACAAATTTC